AGAGAGAGAGAGAGAGAGAGAGAGAGAGAGAGAGAGAGAGAGAGAGAGAGAGAGAGAGAGAGAGAGAGGTTCACTACTGCGGGCCAGAACGATAACAAACAACACCGGTGGACACAGATACACCACGTAGTAGTGAACCCGACCGTCGTTGAAATTGAAGACTGACATACATGATACACAAACAGAGACGGATGTAGAGTTTGAGCTTCTCATGCGCATCAAAACGTATGTGCAATGGTTATTTATGCTACTACTCTATTGCTCTATGCTCTGCATGTCTGTCCTCATCCCTGCAGTCTAACATGGTCTGTCGTGGTGTGTGGGTGTGTCTGTGTGTCATGTCGAGGTCGAGCACTAACTATTGTGTCTCCTGTTGACAAGCCGGGATGCAATGTCTCTCCACAAGCAGTCGCCAGTGCGTCGTGGATGAGGCAACTCAGGTTGACTCCCCATGTCAGTGATGTCGCTATCACAGCCTCTCTGTTCACCAGAACAAGCCATCCCTTGCCAAGACGTGACCACTTTTTTCCCTTGTTGCATGATTTCATAATGCTGGTCACTGCGGCATACTGCAGTGCGCCATCAGGTGTTGCCCCCTTCATCACAACATGCAGCACTTTTTGCAAATCGGGAAAAGCACGTGTCAACCTCAGAATTGCATGTGCCCACTCTTTTGTCACTTGTCCACCAGCCCCCTTCAAATCATAGTACACATCACGTTCCTCTTCTTCCTCATCGCTGCTGACATCGCTGCCACTCACTTCCACCTCAGAAGATGATGCCCCGTCATCCTCTTCTTCATCTTCTTCTTCTGCATTTCCTGTGTACTCTGCAATACAACTTGGTAACTCGGGCTCTTGGAATCCATGATCACGTTGTTGTTCACCCATTGTGAAGACATTGAACATATCTTCTTCCTCTATCCTCTTTGTCGTTGTTGTCTGCACGGGAGGTACAACGGCTGACATATTGTTCATTGTTTTCTGAGCCGCTGATGTCTGTCCGTTGTGTGGAATGATTGCAAGATTTGTTTCTCTGGCCATCAACTTTCATTCTTCTTCTCTTTTTCTTTGTCTCTCAACATGGGAACCGGCATGGCCGAGCTGCTCCAAGGCAGCATATAATATACCCTCCCACAACGATGTGCCACATATCATATTGTCTTCCTTTCTTGCCGACATATATTCAATTAGCTCTTGACCTTGCAGTGTCAACTCTGTGACTTCATGCAACGCCTCATGGATGACGTTCTTGTCGTCGGGGCTCTTTTTCATGAAGTCCACAAGTTGATCCACCACAACATATTCGACACCATCTGCGACTATGATAGGAACATCTTGAACGTCTTCTGGAGGTGTTTGTATTATGTCCTTCATTCTGGATAACACCAAAATTTTCGCTGCACCGGTCTTCAACTCGCCCTTCGACCCATCAACAACCATTTTCGAATTCTTAGCGAAAGTGCCCAGCAACTTCTTGAAATTCGCAGGTGTATATCTCCCCTCTTTCTGCAACATTGTTATGTCCACGTCCCCTTCTTCGCACATCCCTTCGCTGCACATCCACTGAACTACTCCTTTCAGACTACATGCACGGTCTTCCACGTTGTTGTCCACATGTACATGTGGTGACTCTCTGAAGCGTTGCAACAGTGTTTGTGCTTTGACACACCCCTCGTCGTTTGCCATCATCGTGGATCTCATATCCACACTGACAATGAAGCACCTCGGCACCCTGTCCTCAAGCAAAGAGAACTCGCAGTCATTGTCGTAGTGAACGTCCTCCTTTGCATACTTCATCACCTCTGCAAGAGCAGCGTGCACCTGCGCTATTGACATCGACATGATGTGTATGGTTCCTCTTTCCTCCTCTTCTCTCTGCCAGCGGAAACGCACAATGGCGTCAACGACTCTCTCTCTCTCTCTCTCTCTCTCTCTCTCTCTCTCTCTCTCTCTCTCTCTCTCTCTCCATACAAATCCGTGTGTATGTGTATCTGTGAGGCCGTGTGTGTGTGTGTGCGTGTGTGTGCCGTCTATGTGTCAACCTGTGTGTGATGTGTGTCTGTATGTGTGTGACTGTGTATGTGTCTCTGTATGTGTCTTTCTTTGTGTATATGTCTGTGTATGTGTGTGTGTATGTATGTATGTGTGTATGTGTGTATGTGTGTATGTGTGTATGTGTGTGTCTGTGCATGTGACTACGTGTCTGTTCCTAAGTTGGCTACTGCGTGTCATTTGAAGTCGCAACGAAACTGTGTGGTCTGTGTCTGGCACGCAGTAGCTAACCCGAAGGGTGCATGCCAGAATGTGTGTGTGTGTTTCTGTGTGGTTGTGTATGTGTGTCTGTGTAAGACTGGCTGTATGTGATTCTCTGTAAGTGTGTGTGCAACTGTGTATGTGTGAGTGTCTGTGCATGTGACTGCGTGTTTATTCCTATGTTGGCTACTGCGTGGCATTTGAAGTCGCAACGGAACTATGTGGTTTGTGTCTGGCACGCAGTAGCCAACCCGAAGGGTGCATGCCAGAATGTGTGTGTGTTTCTGTGTGGCTGTGTATGTGTGTCTGTGTAAGACTGGCTGTATGTGATTCTCTGTCAGTGTGCGTGTAACTGTGTATGTGTGAGTGTCTGTGCATGTGCCTGCGTGTCTGTTCCCAAGTTGGCTACTGCGTGCCATTTGAAGTCGCAACGAACTTGTGTGGTCTATGTCTGACACGCAGTAGCCAATCGGAAGGGTGCATGCCAAATGTGTGTGTGTGTGTGTGTGTGTGTCTGTGTGTATTTGTGTCTGTGTAAGACTGGTTGTATGTGTATCTGTGTATGTGTTTCTCTGCATGTGTGTTTGTGCATGTGTCTGTGTATGTGTCTGTGTATGTGTATATGTAAGTGTATATGCCTGTGTATGTGTCTGTGTATGTGTGTGCATCAGTGTATGTGTATATGTGTATGTATGTTTGTGTACGTATGTTTGTGTATGTGTATGTATCTGTGTATGTCTGCGTATGCCTGTGTATGTGTATTTGTGAGGCTGTGCGAATGTGCATGTGTATCTGTGTATGTGTGTCTGTACATGTGTACTCGACCTGTTGGTATGTGCATGTGTATCTGTGTATGTGTGTCAGTGTATGTGTATATGTGTATGTGTATGTATCTGTGTATGTCTGTGTATGCCTGTGTATGTGTATCTGTGAGGCTGTGTGGCTGTGTGTTTGTGCATGTGTATCTGTGTATGTGTGTCTGTGCATGTGTGCTCACCCTGTTGGTCTGTGTGTGTGTGTGTGTATGTGTATCTGTGAGGCTGTGTGTGTGTGTGTGTGTGTTATAAGCTCCCCCACAACAACCCCTATTCGAACCAGACGAGTAGAACGGGATTGACTTTGTCAGGACTGTGAGGTAGGGGGAAGCAGAGGGCAAGAGTAGGAGAGAAATATCTGAAGGGCAAAAAGTATGACTTGCAAAGGGCAGGAGGAGAAGGGAGAAGGGGACTAGGGAGGAGAGTAGCGTGGTACCTACCTGGTTATGGTGGAGACCAACTTCATCACCTTGTTAGGCGCTGGAAGGCCCCCATTGGAAGCTCGGGGCAGCGTCAGGCATGGTGGATCAGTCAGCAGCGACTTAGCTGCTTTGTGTTGTCCGTTGGACAGGAAGGGGGGCAGCGACATAGCTGCTTTGTGTTGTCCGGTGTACATCAGGGCAACGTCGTACTGGCCCGCAATAGCCTAGGCATGTGAGAGGAGGAAGAAGGATGGTGCCCATGGCTATGGTGGACCTCATGTTCTGCCTGTAGTAGATGTGGGATTCGGGACTTTTATTCTGGGTCAGCCATTCAACAAACCAGACAGACAGACCAGACAGACCAGACAGACCAGACAGACAGACAGACAGACCAGACCAGACCAGACAGACAAGACCAAACCATAAAGATAGACAGACCAGAGCAGACAGACAGACAGACAGACAGAAAGACAGACAGATAGACAGACAGAAGAAGAAGAAGATGATGATGATGAAAGAAGAAGACGAAAGAAAGAAAAAAAAAAAAATTAAAAAAAAAAGGAAGAAAGAAAGAAGAAGAAGAAGAAAGAGAGATCACGCTTCCCTAACCACCCGCGCAGGGGGGGGAAAAAATTGTGATGGGGGGGGGGGGCTAGCAGGGCGAAACACAGACAGACAAACCAGACAGACAGACCAGACAGACAGACCAGACAGACACACACACCAGACAGACAGACAGACAGACCAAACAGACAGACGGACAGACAAACAAACAAACAGACCACAAAGATAGACAGACCACAAAGACAGACCAGACAGACAAGAGAGACAGAGCAGACAGACAGACCGGACAGACAGACCGGACAGACAGATAGACAGACTGACTAACTGACTGGCAGACAGAGAGACAGACCAGACCAAACAGACAGACAGACCAGACAGACAGACAAATTCGGAATTTGATTCTAGTTCAGCCATTCGACATTATTATTGTTATTTCTGGTTTAAATAAGAGGGGAGGGAATAAGGAGGAGGAGGTTGATTGGCGAAGAAGAAGATTTTTCTCATTGGTGTATGCTGGTGTATATCATCTTCTTCTTTTTTCTTTCTTCTTCTTCTTCTTCTTCTTCTTCTTCTTCTTTCGCTCTCTCTCGTCTCAAGTTCATTCAATTTTTTTTGTAATTGGATGACATTGAACTTTCTGCTGAGTATATACTTCGAAATTGGTCAAGATCGTAACACAAAACAAACAGACAGAGAGAGGGTGGGAGAGAGAGAAGCGCGTGCAGACGTGGAAGAGGGAGCAGAGGGCTCGAAGCTAACAAACCGAACGTACAAATTACAGGTCACGGGATAAAGTCTCGCAAGGGTCAAACCAAGGAAACAGCAAACACACTTAGTATACAGTTCCATAGGGATACTGCGATGGTCTGCGTAAAAGTCAAAATAGTGCAACAGGAAGCAACACGACCTCCACCAAGCCCGTGAGAAGAAAAGCAACGAAAAGAACCCCAAATTCATCAGCCTCTGCGTACTTGTACCCAACTTCCCTAGACCTACAACACAGCATGCACTTACAGACCTTCACAACCGTCCAAACGGCAAATATGTATGACCCAACAGTAAAGATCTACCTGCATGCATGTATATGGAAACCTACAGTGAGGGGACCTAAGGCTAGGACACACATAGTAAGATAGACCTGCGGGCGCCTACCAGTTCTCAGAAGGGCAGAAACTGGACAAAACAACAAGGCTGAAAGGTCGAAGACTACGAAGTAAAGAACACTGGCAACAGGTTCAAGGTTCGAGCACAATGAAAGTCGGATCAATTAGAAAGAAAGAAAGATAGAAAGAAAGAAAGAAAGAAGAAAAAAAAGAAAAAGAAAAAACAAAGAAAGAAAGTAAGAAAGAAAGAAAGAAGAACAAGAAAAAACAAAAATATATAGAGTTCACTGCTGCGGGCCAAAGTCAGCGATAGAGTCGTCCTTGAATACCTTCATGCCCCCCACTAGTGAAAATAATCTCTCTCTCTCTCTCTCTCTCTCTCTCTCTCTCTCTCTCTCTCTCTCTCTCTCTCTCTCTCTCT